CTCCCTAAAGGCAGGCATTTGATTGGCGATAATGTGGTTTACGATGTGGATGTTAGGTTGCAGGGTGAGTTTCAGCCACAGCTTGAAGTTACGCCGATTACCAAGTATGGTTCAGATCCTCAGCTTGTGCTGGGCCGCCAAATTGCTGTTAATAAGTCGTACATATGCTATGGATTGAAGCAGGGAAACATTCGGGTTTTGAATATACACACTGCATTGAGATCTTTGTTTCGAGCTCATACACAGGTTTAATTCAAATCTTATGTAGTAGTTTGCATTCACTTATTTGTGTTTGGATTAGTTATGTGCTCTTTAATTTTCCAAAAAAAAACATTGAATGATTGCTATTCCGGTGTTGATGCTTTGCATAGATGACGATTACAAATTTAGATTCTTTCCTATTTTCTGATGGCCTCAAAAGTTAGTTGGCTTCATGTGCAATTATGCATAGCTTGTACGGAGAAATAGTAATGTGAGTAAAATCACTGGAGATAGTGAAGTTCTAGGGCTAATGTTTGGAGTACTAAGTGTTCGAAATTTCACTGCGTGAAAATGATATAATTTGAAATAGCTTGACATATTGAGTGTACTCTTGTTTGGTTAATATCATCGACGTATATTCAGTGTAACCTAATAACTTTGGGAGATCATACATTTATGTAAAGAACAACACTGGAATAAAATTTGTTTTCTGTGATCTATACTGCATTAAATGGTGTTTGTGTAAAGTGTGAACACATTACAAGTTTTTAGTACCTTGTTGATCTAAGTGATGTCTTGTTCTGTCAGAGGGTCACAGACATGGCTTTCTTTGCTGAGGATGTTCACCTTTTGGCTAGGTAGATCTTTTACCATATTTCTTTATTTTCTTCGTCTAGTTGTCGCTGTTTTATTTGACATACGTTTGTGCAGTGTGAGTGTAGAAGGCCGGCTTTTTGTATGGAAGATTTCTGAAGGTCCAGATGAAGAAGGTACACCACAAATCACAGGAAAGGTTGTTATTGCCATTCAAATAGTTGGAGAGGGGGAAGCTGTTCATCCACGAGTTTGTTGGCACTGTCATAAACAAGTAATTCATTCTTTTAACGCCTATTATTAATCAACAGTTATAGCTCCATCCTTTCAATGGCCAGTCAATCATTTCTTATTTTTGGCTATGAAGTTGTTGGATAATATGTGTTTATGACTATTGTAAAATCTAATCTTACAGGAGGTTTTGGTAGTTGGGTTTGGAAAGCGTGTTTTAAGAATTGATACTACTAAAGTCGTGAAGGGTGAAGTCCCTTCTGCAGATGAGCCTCTCAAGTGTCCTGTTGAAAAGCTGATTGATGGAGTCCAATTTGTTGGTAAACATGATGGAGAAGTGACTGATTTGTCAATGTGCCAATGGATGACCACTCGTCTGGTTTCTGCTTCTATGGATGGAACCGTATGTACTTTCACCGTCTTGAGATCTTTATTTTAGTTTCTTTGTTTCACTTTACATATTATCTTGTAGCACAAGTAGCAAAACTTTAAACTGCATTGCATCTGGTTTAGTGGAAACAAATTTGAGGAAAAGTACCTGGTTAACCTGTGCATTTTTGCGTCATAGAAGAATGTGTTCGTTACCTAGCATTTGCGTTTATATCATTAAAGAAATTGGTATGAATTGGGATATAGTATATTTATCGGACATGGTCGGTTGATTTTTCATTTATTTTTAAAGAAAGGGAAATTGTGAACGAACAGTGGTGAGGAAGATAATAAAAGTGTGACTAAGTTTCACAGTTTCAACTATTGTAATTTTCTTAGAATAATATGAAAACTTTGAAGCATGAGAAGTGAGTAATCAGCAGTTGCTACAATTTCAAATTCATATGAGAGGCCTTTTCCTCTTGGAAAGTAGAAAGAAAACAAGGATAATATTGTGTTTGTATTATGCGAGTAAATAATGCGGGAATTCAACAACTTGACTCTTTGAATTATGAGTCATGGATTTTGGTCAATATTTGTGGTAATTTTTTACATACATTAACTTCCTTTGCATCTTTTTTACTGTCAAATTTATGGGTTATATAGTCTATGTTTGAGGTCAACCTTACCTGCAGTAGCTTCCCGTGCATGCTTTTGACTATTTGCTTTATGATTTATATGGATTTTGGTCTAGGTTTGGGGTAGGATTTTCATGCCTGAGCTTCCCTTTCATCTGCCCCTCTTTTTTCCTTAATTTTTCCTGGTCAAGTTCTGGAGATCTCCACCTTTTGGCTCATCTATGTTGACATTGAAATTTTTTGTAAAAAGCATTTTTCTTAATACAATGTGGGTGGTCAAATCATTATAGTGTGATCCAGTTTTCTTCCCCATAATGCATTCTACCTTTGTAGAGGGAATTCCTATTCCCAGAGTGGCACTGAGAATTGTGTCTCTACTTCAACTTGAGTTTGAGTATTGATAGGTATCTATCATTTATGATTGTCTTATGGATATGAAGAGTGGTTGAGAGCCGTGTTACACAGAGGTACATTTTGGTAGAGAAATAATCATTGTTTATGATTCACGATCATATGCTGGCATGCATCCATTCACTTTTCCTTCAATATTTCTGATTGATACAAGTCGGAAGAGTTTTTGCTGATTCCACACAAAATGTATTTCTTGCTACAGATAAAGATCTGGGAAGATCGCAAGGCACAACCGCTTTTAGTATTGAGACCCTATGACGGCCATCCTGTTTA